GGGGGGGGGGGGGGGGGGTAATGTTTGACAACTGTTGACGAAAAAATGGGGAGGGGGTAGTTTAGTGGATGTCAACAATCATATTTTCTCTGTTAAAATTTTAATCTTAAAAATTGATTGGTTATTACAATTACAATATTTTAAAGAATTTAATGAGTGTAAATTAACATAGTTATATAATTGTTATGCTTTTAAATATATAAGAGTTATTTAATGTGTGTGTGTCTGTGCTCTGCTGATGGCTGGTCAGAATGTTAGCACACTTTCTTAGTGTGAGCGACGTCAAAAGTTGGCCTCTCTTCGCCTGTAGATTCTTTTTGGCGCCAATGACTAGGGCGGTATGTTTGCGATCATGTTGCAGGTATGGAACAAGGACAAGGTTCAAGTGTCATGTGCAGTCAAGATAAATGATACTGATAGAGTAGGAATACGATATTTTGAAAATTAGAGGAAAGTAAAGTGAGTAACAATAATAACATCGCTGCTTGAACGGATTGGCAAAATCTGTAAAATCTATTTTGCATCATAAGTCATGTTGAAATAGCAAGTTCAACAGCTCCGAGAATGCATAAGAAAGTACCACCTGCTCCTCAAAAAAAAAAAAAAAAAAAAAAAAAAAAAAAAAAAAAAAAAAAAAAAAAAAAAAAAAAAAAAAACAAAAAAAAAAAAAAAAAAAAAAAAAAAAAAGGATTCGACTAATGCAAGTAGCTGCCAGGAGACAGGGAGACCTTATGGCAATTATAGCTCACATTGACAATATTTCAATTTGTAGTGCTGAATGGTTAGATGAGAATGATTGTGATTTGTCTGGTTTATCAGTTCCGCAAGTTGAAAATGATAAATCAGCTCCTATGCCTATTGTTACGATAGAGCAACACCTGGCTACTGCCTGGGAGGATGAAAATAGCAGCTAGAATCTATGCTACGATTTCCAGCTATACTGACAATAATCATATTTATACTTCCACAAACAATGATATTTAGTCTTTAACAACATTTTCATTGATGGTACATTATAAAATCTAAGTGTAAAAACTTCTTAACTTGTTGATTAACAAGCTAAAGATGCAATACGATGTTTTTCATACAATTTTGAGTTATTAAAACAGATTAGCACAAGGTGAAATGTATTTATAGGTTTAATTTTATTATATTTAATTATTCTTTTGGAGGGTGGTTTATAAAAATGTTGACATAATTATTTAGGGGTGGGTCATTGAAAGTTTGACAGTTGTTGACAAGGGGTGGGGGTGGTGTCAAAAATTGCTTACAATTG